AGTTGAACCGAAAAAACGATTGTATTCCGCACTCGCGCCGGCCGGTCAAGTAGGGTAATTTTTCGAATTGCTTTTTTTCCCCTGCGCGTTTGACTTCGACAGCCGTCTGAATACGGATACACGATTTTGTGAAAAAAAAAAAAAAAAGACATATATATACAGTATACACCTGGAACCCTTTAACGCATACAATACTTTCGTAAAAATAAATACAATTTTAAAATTGTACGCAAAAAATGTATAAACTTGTATAAATTAAAACGGTATACAGATAAATAAGCTTATAACTCAATTGAATTTTATAAGACGTGTCCGAAAAATTGTATACAATTTAAATCTCGTTACTGTAGATCAGTCGTGATTCCCGACCTTTTTTATTCTACGCCCCTCTTGTAAATTTCCAAAATCTCACCTCCCCCCCACCCACAATAAATTAGATTAGACTACCTTTTATTTTTTTTTTTCGGTGAGCCGTACGAATACATTTTACATAATAACTGTATATTATACAACCAAACTTAATTTATTGTTTTCAAATTCATAGATTTTCGTTATTTCACCATCACTTTATTTCCCGCGTGCACTATCTAAATTTCCCCCTAGGGGGATTCCCCCGTTCGGGAACCGCCGTTGTAGAGTCTACAGTAACGCGTTTACCGCGTAGACGACCTTTAAATGATAAAACTATTATATTTTTTTTTGCCTAATTTAGGCTGACTTCACACGAAGCCACTCGGCAGCGCCACTTAGAAGCGCGTCAGTAGCGCTGCGAATATTTTTAGAAGCGCGTCAGTGGCGCTGCTAATGTTTTTAAAAGCGCGTCAGTGGCGCTGCTAATGTTTTTTAAAGCGCGTAAGTGGTGCTGCGAAAGTGTATCGGTAGACAATATTTGTGAACACGAGAGCACTACATCGTTCTCAAAATGGACGTGGAAACTGAACTATTGTTGGCGATGCTATTAATTAAAAAAAAAGAAACGTAAAAATACACCGAGAAGATTCTGGGTGAATCCATTGCTTCTAGAAAGACCGAACAAAGGATTATTTTATACACTGTTTGATGACTTGGAAGGAAATGATGAAAAATTCTTCTCATATTTTCGTATGTTGAAGAATACATTCAAAGAACTTTTATCTGGTATCAAAAATAATATAACGAAACAAGATAGTGTCATGAGGAAGTCCATTCCTCCGAATGAAAAACTAGCTTTAACTCTGAGGTAAGAATAATAAATTTACAATATTTAAAGTGTTATGCTTTATTATAAGAAATATACTTAACATTTGTTTGAAAATAAATGAAATATCTGTTCAAAATAAATATTAATATATCTAAACAAGATATTGTATTAAATAAAAAACTGTAATAAAAAAATTAAATTAAATTAAATACCATTTTAATTCTTATAAACTAAAAAACAATTGTTAACATACTTTTAGAGAGTTACTTTTAATTGCTAAATACACCATTAGATAAATCGCTTTGAACAGATGATGCATCTTCGGGGCTAATAGTCGCGCGATTGCAGTCACGTGTGAAACCTCCAATCTAAAAATATGTTCTGTTACAAGAAGCGCGACTTTTAGACGCCGCGTTCTGCGGCGAAGCCAGCCACTGACACCGTCTGTGGCGCTTCAAATTAGTGGCCGTGGTCGTGTGGTTTCACAGCCATCTATATAAACTAATGTTTTTCCAACAGCAGAGCTTCTTAGTAGCGCTGCCGAATGGCTTCGTGTGAAGGAGCCCTAACGCTCCGCGGTGTGTTGCCATGTCATTTGCGCGCGTGTTCGGCTCGCGACGCCGTCGATCCACCCGAGTGTCGGTATTTCGCCGGACGTCAAAGGAATGTGTTACTGTACGACACGACGCCATAACGTGGACGGTAAACCGGTCGCTCGCAACGAATCACCCGGTTATATATACTCGTAAATTGATGTGATATAAAATGTATCGATTTAAAAGAATGGAGTGGAATAATGAAAAAAGTGTTAGATTTATAATAGAGACGTACGAAAATAAACCGATACTACGATTCCCAAAGGACCCGAAGTATTGTAGTGATAAATTTGCGGAATTCGACGTTTGGGAAGAGTTGGCGACTTGTAAATCGGTAGAAGACATCGCGCACGATGGCGTTACACGATAACGAACCGCGAACAACTGACGGATGGACCGGCGAACGACCGGTACACAGTAGTGCTCGACCCTAAACGTACACGCCGGTCGTTCGTGACGCGTGTATAATCGGGCGAGCGCGAACTCGGTTGCATTACACCCGAATGTTCCGGCGTGCACCCGGCTTTGTATCGTTTATTTATTTATTTATTTCGTATGGCTTTTAACACAAATCAACTTAACTATTAAACTCTAACTAAAATATAAACTAAAACATAAACTAAAAACAATACAAAACATGATATAGATATGAAGCTATAACGGTATAACTTACAATAGAACTATAATAAGTCAAAAATCATAAATAACAATAAAGTTTGAGTCGTTCTTGCGATGTGGGTTCATAAACAGATGTCGAGGTTTGTAATCCAGGTAATTGCTTCGGGTGTCACTGCATGCAGGCCTTCAAAACCTTGGTTCAATTTTCAATTGGCAATCAACTACTATATGATTTATTTTTTGTTCCCCGTTTCACGTACAGGGTTATCTTGGAGCTCCCACTTATTTAGGAGGTAATCACACCGACCATGACCTGTACGCAGTCTATTTAACGTGGACCAGGTACAACGAGGAAGATTCATTCCTAGAACTCCATTATTAGGGTCACATAGTAGCTTCATATTTATTGCTATATAGCTTGCCAATTCTTTTCGCCATTCCTCGGCGCTATCAAACCCTAAACTTATCAGTGTTCTGGTGTACTCAACAGGTGGGCTCCTGGATTTTAATCGTTGATTGGGTGTTTGAAGCATCATCTGGTATAAAAGTGAACTCTTGTAATCTACAGATTTCTTAATGGTTTTTACAAGAACATCTTTCATACGAATGTGTGGTGGTTTAATATTTGCCAGTACCGGTAGCCATTGCAGTGGTGTAGATTTAACTGTCCCGCTTATTACTCTCATTACGCTATTTGTATCGTTACAAAGTATTGACTCGTCGTCGTACAGAATATTCCCATTTCCTGTTACAGGAAACAGCGATGCTGCATAATACACATTATACCATGTTGAATGTTTGAATTGTATAACAATGTACAATTTTTTAGAGGTCGCCTTAATGCGGTAGTACGCGTTTACCCGAAACACAATTACGGTGTAAATATAATGTCACCTACCGGCCACATTTTTCCAAAAAAGAGCCCGACCGTAACACAGACTTTCGCGGACTATTGCGTCCGCGATTTCTGCGCGCCTTTTTTCATCGATATCGTCGAACGCGTTTCTGTTTATACACGTGTTGGCTGGGAATAATAACGTCGGAAGTCGTAGTTGCTTTTTTTTCTAATGCTTTTTTTCCGACATGGAAACATCCTCAAAACGTTCATCTTTGACACTGTTCAGGCGTTTTGTTCGGTATGCGGCCTAAGTACACACATTCAATACCGCACTAGACGATATTATGACGAAAACATTCGATTTGAAGCCCGTAGTAGTATAATGAAGTATGTTCTAGGCTAGCTTGATATTTATCACAATTTTTTTTCAAACATTTTTTTATCACAATTTTAACAATCATTTTTACACTATTTTTTCTGAATCTTTTAAATAACAAACTGCCGATGGTTTAGCATCAATTCGCTATTATATGAAAAATGATCGAGAAATGATTGCGCTCCGACGTCCAACTATTTGTGTGTGAAAATTACGATTGAATTTTTTTTTTTTGAGGATTTATTAAAATTTATTATAGGATATTTTATAGGATTTATTAAAATTCCGTTTGGTACGTCTATGATTTTATAACGGTTTTTAATATATCAGCATCCGTTTCCGTTAGATTGAATATTATAATAATATCCGTTGGATAGAATGTTATAATATTATAGATAACAATTGTTACCTATTTATTTTATGCGGTATTATTGATTACGGGAAAATTTAATTTAATTTAAAAAAGTTTTTTTCAATCTCCTTATGAGCGGTTGGTTAACATTCAATGATATACATTTTTTACAGGTATAAGTTTGCATTATCAAAATTAAATTAGGATATTTTTTTTATATTAATTATGTTCTTTTTCGAGTTTTAAGCTTATCAATGTTTTTAACAATGAGTTCTCAACATTTCATGTCAATTCATTTTTCCAACAGCGTAATACCAAATTTATTTTTTTCAACATCTCAATTTTCATGGGCTAAATTTTTTCTCTTATTTTGTATATTTTTTGAAATAGTTTTATTAAATGTTTCTGATACAATTTGATACTTAAAAGATTCAGAAAATATAGTGTAAAAATTATTTTTAAATTTGTGATAAATATCGGCAATTTGTAATTTAAAAGATTCAGATAAAATATTGTAAAAATGATTGATAAAATTGTGATAAAAAATTATTGAACAAATTGTGATAAATATCAAGCTGGCCCAGAACACACTTTATTTTACTACTGCCCGTCGTATACTTGGTATATAAAACAATACGTCATTGTTTTGATACAACAATAAAATACACGATTTTTCCAGATATTACGAAAACCGATTGGAAAATCAAAAAATTCCCTTACATTACTAAAGCCCTTTTGATGCCCTTGAAATTTCAATTCCAACACTTTTTGGAGCATGGAAATAATTTTCAGTCGTCGCTTGAGCGAGTGAACTAATTTAATTCATCCAGAACAATGACAAATTTTATCCAAGGTGACTTCTGGGAAAATAAAATTGAAAACCATGGTGATAAGCTTGTGTTTTCTTATTAAATCTCTTATAAGTTGTCCATTTAGAAATAAATAACCCTCTTGGTTCACATTCAAAATTTCAAGCTGTTAGTGCTATATATTATTCTATGTTTTAGAACGAAGGTTTATTTTATAATTCGTATAGGAATATTATTGTCGCATGGTGCTATTTTTATCAACAGCCCGTCGTTAGTAATCTTATTATCTCTATTTTAGTCGGTCGGTTTTAAAATTACAATAATGTTCAGCGGCAACGACGAAACCGGTTGGCCTCATGGTGTTACAAATGGCAAAAGCTGCCAGTTGTGTTGTAAAGGAGGGAGCCGCCGCTCCGTGTCTCGTCTGATCACAACGATGTACCGTTGGGAGCAGCACGCGACGGTTTTTTTTTTAATTTCATTATTTTGTTAAAAGGGAGGGGGTGAGACATTTTTAGAAATCTACAAAGGGTGCGTAGAAAAAGAAGTTTGAAACCACTAACGTAAGTTCATCAGGACGCAAGACGGGACTAAGAGAAGAAGCCGGATAAAAGAAAAACGATTTTCGTTTATTTATGTGAATCATGAGCTTTTTTCATTGATAAGTTTTGTTATTTTTTTTAGTGACATTACTGTCATATACTATATATATATACATTATTATGACGATGGGTGCGTATAACATAAGTTTACGGATTATCGAAGTTTTACTATAATTTATATAATTTATAATAATTGTGTCAACTATTGATATGGTCCATAAACATAATATGATAATAATTATAAGTCTGACTATTGGCTTTTTTTAAATGAATTAACCATAACAGAAATGATGTTATACGACGTTGATACAACCTGAAAGTAAACATTTCTTCTTAAGTGTTTATTATTTTTAGTAGTTAATTTAATACTTACGCTACCAAATAGTTGTAAGTTGATAATCTTCTTTGGTGAAAATCGTATTACCGAACAATTCACATTATTCATTTGCATTGCTAAAGATAATAACTTTTTGAATTTTAAATCCATTTTCATCCAATTGCAAGAGTACATTGCAAAGTTGACAGAATTTACCTATTGTGACATAATAAAAATAGGTAATTAAAAAAAAATATATATATATATCAAATATAATAAAAATACCATATTTTTAGAAATTTTACCTCAGTATTTAGATTGTCAAACATGAAACAGTAAAGGAAATAATGATAATATTGAACAAATAAGGTAGACAATAACTTGATCACGTCGAAAATCGAAAATGATTTCATTGACAAGCAGACCTTTCGAACACAGATACAAAAATTATAGTGGCAATGGTATTATAAATGTATACTAAAATATATTTAAATGTAGTTTTACACTGTTGATAATCGTAATATAATATACTATAATATAGTGGTGTAGTGTAAGGTATATTCGGCAGGTATACGGCATACCCAAAACGCTAAAATTCTTAAATGCATGTAGGAAAGAAAACAATACTAATACGTGGGTATACGATGGTTGCCTGTTGGATGATAACCATAATATAATATGTAATTTAAACATTTCTAATTTGTTTTCAATCTCATCACTCTCAGAGAACTGGGGTGTCACCATTGTTGTGTAATGTCTTCGGTGATAATTATAAAATGATAAGGAATAGGAAAACTAATAACCTAAATAGGTGTATACCCAAAACAATATTTACGACTTCATCACTGGTATATTATATTATGTATTGATCAAATTGTAGGTGATACGTGATATATTGTTTTTGTACGATTTATAGTGTACATAATAGAATAATATCTCGTGTATTACTTTGGTAATAACATTTCATAGTATATGTTGTATAGTATATATGTTGTGACATAATGTGTTTGAAAATAAATTTTACCATTATTAACGAACATGTTATCACAATCATCAAACCAAAATTAAAGGCAATAAAGCCTAAAATAGCTGGCCGGAACACTGAATAAAATGACTTGAGTTTCCTTAAACAGAAAAATGTACTCGTATTTAACGTTATATTTTCATTTATAAACATTAATCACAGATTAATATTTATTTTTACTCCATACTTTAGTTTTGACTAGTAAGTAATATCTAATAAAATATGTAATAAAATAAAATAAAATATTAATTTATAAAAAAATTGCGAATTTTTGGACTATTTACTTGAATATTAGTATTGATTTTAGTATAATAGGTTAATTTTAATTTATTATTTAATAAAATATACGTACATATGGATAGTTTTTGTGAAAAGAAAATCGAGTCTCTTTTTGATTATTTTGACATTATATGTAAATATTTTAAAAATTGTTCGCCATATCCAATGGTAATACTGCCCAGTAACATGTGTTTTCTAGTTATCATTGACATAAGCGACACTTGGTACCACGGACTAAGAAAAAATGGACTAGTAACGAATAGGTCGACGGGCGGTGGTGCTGATCATCAAATGTTTCCCTTTCAAAAGTACAAGGTATCGAGCGCTATCTTCTAAGAATAAACGTGTACTTTTGGAGAAGGGTATATACATTAGAGTATTGTACTCATATGCAAACTGCATATGGATGAAACCGGTTAATGTATCGTACTAGCTGTAGCTAATATAATATACAAAATAATAACGATTTATTACTGATATTTTAATTTCAAACGGTGACCTCTTAAAGAAGCGTCATCATCAAATTTGTGAGTTATATTTTAAAAATCGATAAAATGGAAGAAGGCTGGCGGAGAAAAAGTGGTCCGGCCTTATCTACCAAACTCGTATCCATATCTATTATCTATGTATCTATGTATATTCGAACTGTTGGCTGAAATACTGTCAGCTCAAATACGATTCTGGAAAAATATTTTTCGGCTGAAATATGATCGCCTTTTTTATGTGGTCCCATCAAAAACAAGAGTTATTTTAATTTACAACACAGAGGTATTAAATAATCTTTTCAGGACTAATAAGATGCCTGTACTTACTACCAGATTTAAATAAAGTATTAAAAATTGTGTTAATAATTTCAGTATCTTCTTGCACAGTTAAGAGATAATTTTCTGCACTTTGGAGACTTAAGACATATCTCAGCTAGTCAGATCAAGAACGTTTCAAAAACGTTATAATGATACTTCAATTCTTCATGTTCGCAGAGATTAAGAAGTTGATCTACCAACAGTTGCTAATAGATTTATTAACAGTACCTACGAAAGTAAGGGGAAGCACTTTTTCATTACCTAGTCTTATCTAATCTGATCTAATTTATATTATTTTTAAAAATAATGGGTGATGACTTATAGCTCAACCCCCTCCCATGTCATTTCCAAAACCTGGCGCTTATATTATGTTACCTTTAAAATACATTACTTTTAACTTTTATCTATGGGTGTAAAATTATAATCTTGTGGTCAAAGAAAAATTGCTATTGGAGCAAGTGCATACCCATGAAACCCACCCCCTCTCCTTTCAATTTCGCCATTGATCAATGAAAATTTGAAATTTATTTATACAATAAAATATAGGATGATTGAACCACGTGAAGTTAAACACTTGTATTATTAAATAGGTAAGAGGTTTTAAGTCTCAAAAATTAAAAAAGTGATAAAATATTCGTTAGTTTTTAAATTTTTTTTTGTATTTTAATATCATTTTATTAAAAAAGTTCCCTTTTTAATATCACCAGAAGAGTTGTTGTTTTTGACTGGATTTCTTTTTCACAAAATCCATCAATCTATTAAATTATATATATTTATTTATTTACCTAATGGTTTAAGACCAAATTAAATTACATTATAATGATAATATCGATAACAATAATAATACATTCAAATTTATATGGATATATTATACATTGAGAAACAACTTACAAGTTAAGTTTTTGTTGATCGCATATAATTGATTTAAAATTCGAATAGTCTTCTGTAAAAATATTGAAAATGTGAGGAAATCGATAAAATGGGAAGTATAGAAAATATTATACATAGTTATTTTATAATCTACTAAAAGAACGGAGAAGACTGGCCATCATGTTTAGTTGAGTTTAAACATTCTAAAATAATTTTTAGAGTTTCAGATGAACCCGATGAAAAGACACCACGAAGTAGGCAAAGAATGGTTTCATAATATAGAGGATAAGTATTTGCTACACTGGGTCAGTTAGTTGCTTACAAATAATTTTAACAAGAGTGTTCAATTTTTATTATAGCTAATATATCTTTGTCGTAACTTATTACGGCCAGTGCCTTTGAGAAGTGTGATATGCGAGGTTATTATGCCCCGTCATCGTAATTCAAAATAATAATTGTCAACTTGATGATAAAAGTTTAAATATGATTTAAACTTGGAACAAAGAAAAGGTACTTTCACGGTTGTCACTATTTTTCAACTAAAAATTATTAAACAAAAATAAATACTCATATTCCATTAGGAAATCCAACATAGAATGCAGGTGAGAATGTAAATAGGAATATAAAATGTCACTTGTTTTATAGAATTATGAATAGTTGCCATCAACAAATTTTAATTTGATTTAACATAAGGTTTACACGTAAAATACATAAAAAAATGAACTTTTTAAATAAAAATTTAACCGTATAAAATAGTAACTCATCAATTAACTTAACATAAACTATTAACGCGTTACCACCCAGTCTTGAGAATCTGGGAGGTTTGGGAAACTTCAATGAAAATCGTAGGTACATAGGCGATGTATATTATGTAGAATGATGACTGACGTGACAAAATCCGATAGAAAAAACAAAATAACTACATTTTATAATAACATTATATTATTACCTATTTGAGTTTTGTCTTCCCATCCGACATTTTTAAGCGACCGTGTAATTACATTGTATTGACCAATTATAGCGAAATAAAAAGATATTAAAAGACCGTCGAATACAAGTAGAATATAAATCATCAAAAACAATAAAAATACTTCCAATATGTAAAAAACGAAATAATACTGATTGTACGTATGTGTTTTTACAGGATACGGATAATTTAAAACATTGTACATTTGTCCATTAGCGGTTTCAATCTGAACAATGGAATTAAGGACAAAAGGGTTGAGCGCCCATTGAAAGCACGCGACGACGGTAAAATTCACCAAGAAATTCGTAATCCAAATTGTTCTCTTTCGGTATTTATTTAATGTTTCGATGTTCTGAGTACACAATGGGCTCGTCAAAAAATTAAATTTTGTAACGGGAAACAAATCCCAAATCGTGTTACTCTTGCTTAAAATTCGAATCAATATAAACGATACGAGATTATGAACTAGTATGGGGAAAGCAATGATAACATTTTCAATGTAGTCAAATGAATCAAGCCCTTTGACGAAAAAACCAATAATTGCTAAAATCGGCATAACTTGTGATACCGCAGTTATCGAAACAATTGTTATCAGGTAAACGTTCCAATTGCATATCTTTTTGCTGCTGGGATTGAACAACTGGTAGAAACACGTTCTCTTTAATAACTTCAAGTTCAATACGACTTTATTGTCTTTTATAACCTCCATCTATCTGTGTTAATATCTGTAAAAATAAAAGATCTTTAATAATTCGGATACGTGTGAGTTGGAACAACGGGGATTTATTTTTGAGTGATGGGGGAGGAATTTTGATCGAGATCAATACATAAGTGATATTTTTTTTAAATATCATATCGATAAATATTATTAAATATTAAGGATTAGAGGAATCTTAATGAAAGAGATAAAATCGATATAATATATCGCTGCTAGTTTCTAAGTGTAGCAAAGAAGCTATTAGTTTTATTCAGTTATTGGTGTGTTCTTTTTCTCGGAAGGTACTCTTTTGGTCAGAATATTCAATCTAATTTTAGATTCTGAGTAGGTGAGGATTGGATTGATTTTGCAATGGTATTTATTTTTGTCTGTGGTTAACTTTTCTACCAGAAATCTTCCTCCGAGTGTTGATCTTTTTCTGAAAGGAAATTTTATCTGGTTGGTACTTTATGAAAGTCATTTTTTGTTTTTTTAACGGATTTTCATAATAAATGGAAAACACCGGGAATTGACGTCGGAAAAACACATACATTGCATACAGTATGTTAACTGAATTACATTGTATTTAGTGTATTTCCTGTACTATTAGTTTTGTATTAGTTATTTGCCGTTATTGAGGTTTTTTACGTTTAGATTACCACTTTATAGGGGATGTTATTGATATTTTTGAAACTTTAAAAATAACGTATAGGTACAACCAACCGGTATTCATAAAAGTGACTAATTCTGAAACTTTTATACTTCCACGCAAAAAGATATATGACCTAAAAGTGGGAAAATGTCAACAAATGCTTTAAAAACCAAAAGTTGAAAAATATAAAATAAAAGTTTCATTTTTAAATTCTCTCATATATGAATCGAATTATATACTTGGAAATCATTGTCCTGTATCACCCACTAAAAAAAGTATTTTGCGTTAAAGTCCATTCTCTATTAATGACATGTGATAAAATGAAGATAAAGAAAAAGAATCAAAAGTCAATAATTATAAACAAACGTTCGGTTTTCCGACAATACATTATTTTATAAATAAAATGAAAAATGGATCGTAGATATTAAATAATCATAAGTGATTCACGACTGTATTAGAAAAATCTGGTTTCAAAGAGTTAATGACCCCATAACTACACCTCACTATATATAATGTAGTCTATCATAAATTATGTATTATTCATGTAGGTATTTAATATTTATTTACGTGAGCATTTAACATCAAATTTGTAAATTTTTAATAGGATTATTTACGTTTCATGTTTTAGATACATGGTTGCTTGTTTTTCACCAATAACATAATTTAAAAGTATATCAGTATTTAAACGAAAAAGTTGTTAACCACTTTTCTAAAGCAAAATATATTTCAATCACTAGCAATATACCGTGCGTTCACACTAAGAGGTACCACTAAATATTTCAGTCGGATGACCTTGCATTGAAATGGAGTTTTCATGAAATAATATATATTACCGAAATACACAATTTCAGAAAAAATTTAAAATTGTTAACCCTTTCGGTACGCACATGCACAATACAACGTACTTTTTTTTAAATAACATCTCTATTTTTTTCTAAAGATTTGGACAGATTATTATTTTTAAAACAATTTTTGAATAAAAAGTTTTTTTCTATTTACAAAATTGTTAAAGTTATAGTATGTTGAAATTTAATGTTTACGAATAATCTGTTTTTGATAACATTTAGTTATATTACTAATTTTACAAATGAAAATATTAGTACTGACTCTTCAAATCTTATAAACATTAATTTAAAAGTCTCAGAACCATCAAATACTAAAAAAAGACAATTATCAATTTGGGATTCTTATGAACAACTATTTCCTCAAAAAAAAATACAAAACCACAAAATGTTGAGCCCGAATCAATTAGTATTTTAAGTTAATGATAAAATAGTGATTAAAATGAAAATTGAAATGTTTACCATCGGGCCAGTAACTGAAAAACTTGATGACCCAATAAAGTGGTAGAAAATTAATAAAGGCTATTTTCCAAATTGCACAAATCTAGAAATGAAATATTTATCAACCCCCTTCAAGTATTGTTTACAGTGAGTTTGTATTTTCAGAAATAGGACTGTTATACGAAGAAAAAAGAAACCACCTCCGACCAGATAAGGCAGGAGAATTCGTCCAAGTTGCTATACAAATTCAGAATCTGTACATAATATTTATTTCCAATTTAGTTCCGTTTCATTATTATTTTAAATTTGAATATTCACCTTTTCTTATGATTTTTTTACAAAACAGGTCTTATTTCAGAACATTTTGGTTTAGTATTTATTATTTACTAATTGGTAATATGTATTTAAATTTTAAAATAATTTTGTTGAATTATTAATTAATAATTCCCAATGTTGTTAGGTTGCGGAAAAATATATAATATCATCATATACCTATTATCAAATATTTAGAATTTTATTAAATATTCCTTTTTTTTTTTTTTTTTGATACCCAGCCAAGTACCCGGTATCCAATTAAAACAGTTTTTAAATTACCTAATATTAAGTTGTCGGCCAAATTTAATACTCGAAATAACTTTATAACATTATAGATATTACGTATATAGTGTAAAATATAAGTGATATGTTACATATCACCTTTTTGTAATATTTTCTAAGCAGTTAAATACTGTACATTTAACTGTTCATATATATTGTAAATAATTACTAAATACAATGAAACATACCTATTTCAGTGTAATAATGCAATTTTGAGACGAGTAAAAATGTTATTCCAATAATTGTTTGATGGCGACTGGTTCTAAAAAAGAACTCTAAAAGACTAAAATTAACAAAAAATTTTTTTCGATAGTACTATCAAAATATTCCACGCATGTAAAACCAATGTCAATAGAGGATACTTTGTTTTTATATTATTTATATTTTCATTGCGGTTTCAATTATTATTAAACAATTCCTCCTAGTGCTTATATTTAAAATAAGAGTCACGCACATAGTTTTCGTCACGCACTAATCATCTATTTATAATTTATAAATAGATGATTAGACACCTATAAATATTTCAATAATAAAAAGAAAAAGAGCTCATGTGTCGACCGTAGTATATTACACGAGACGGCCAACTCCTATTTAACTGTGCAATTTTAAGACAAATGGTCCGACCTCGCTATAGCCCAAACTAATGGACTAATAAGTGCAATTATATAAATATTGTATTTGTTATATATAATATATTGTATTTAATAATTATTGTAATTATTATATTTAATAATATATTGTATTTGTTATATTTAATATTTGTAATTAACAAAATAATTAACAAATTGTAAAACCTTTAGATCGTATTATTGCAGCATACAGAAGTAGCCAAACCGAACAAATTCAAAAATGGTCTAAATTGGTAAAAATTTAAAATCTACAAAGACCTTGAGTTAATTTCAGGAAAGAGCAATATTGTCATCAACTAACGAGCAAGTCAATAAAATAAATGACTGTTAAGATTTAATGCACCGACAAAAATATACTATTCAGTTGATACAATTATTGATAGAAAGGAGGCGGTACATTATCCAATTGAATTTTTTAGTTCTTTAACCCCTCCAGGGACTTTCAACCGCATAATTGAATTATAAATGTAAGTTCTCCTATAATACTACTCCGGAATTTATGTCCACCAAAATAATGCAACGGCTCAAGATTGCAAATAAAATCTTTAAAAAACTGCCCGCTTGAGTGTATGATTCTTATTGACTGTGGAGCTGGAGAAACGGTCTTGGATCCTAGAATACCGATGTAGAAGTCCAACGCCTTAGTAATTTACGTGACGTGTATAGTATAAAAAAAGAATATTACGAAAAATCGCGCATCACGCACCACGCTTTCACGGACCCGTGATTGTGTGATTTAACCAAGGCTTAAATTAAATTTATCGTCTTTAATTTGTATGTAATTCTTAAAATACGTTAACACTATATATTGCCAAATCAAAAGACAAATCTGTTAGCAAACACTGGGTACTCATTAAATTAATAAATAACAAATTTGTATTAACATTTTTATGGTAATGAATTGCGAACTTATGTAATACTTTTTATTAAAAATAAACATCCATACGATGTAAAAACGTTTATTTAACAATTTAACAAGAATATTTTGGGAACCAATACAATTATTAATATTATTATTTTCCCGATTATGATTTTCCTGTGTTTTAACGGATATTTTATTTGGAATCAAAAACATAAATTGCAGACTGATGAAAAGTGGGTGTTTTTATAAACTACCAAAAGAATAAATTCTTTCCGTAATAATGATTGTTTCTCGTCTTATAAGTATTCAATAATATATTTGTTTTAATACAATTTAAAAAGTTTAATGTTGTACGTATTTCATAAGCGTAAATTATTGTTTTGCCATCTGAGAAAATGGTGGACATGTGATAAGCACGCGCAGCCGTGATTCACTAATCATAATGTAAAGTATCGTAAGTACATCAGGTAATCTAGTATAGTATGTCTTATAGATATCTGCGCATTCAACACAAGGAGAATCTATTGTGTTTCATTTTCTGGGTATAGGCTCTTTTATTTTATTATAATCATCCACTATTGATTTTATCCATTCTATATGGTAACCGACGTTTGTAAACACCGAGTACGAATTGTTCGCAGCATCTTTAATGGTTGATATTCCGGTTAAATAATGCAAACCGCTGTGTTCAAAAGTTATACCAAAACCGCCGTCTCCTCGATCCACTCCTTGTCCTGAAAATCAGATTTAAAATTTATACTTAACAACACTAGTAACTAATTATGGTAGAATTATCGACAGATTTGAATACTAGATTCAAAATAGCAACAGCATCTCAAATAATAACAAATCCGTAACTTAATTGATAATTTGATAAACAATAAATAATCAATAGATAATAAATGATATCCTTTAGAGGAGATATAAAATGTACACGGATGTACAATATACACCTTACCTGTCTTAGCTTTAAAATCTATAGACGTTTAATCATTACCGTTAAAAAAATGTAAAATAAACTAATACATTTTTAGATAAATAAATAAAGACATTTTTATTACCCGATTCAGAACCAGCACAAAATTTATCTGCTGTCAAAAATATTTTGAAATCTTCATTAATCTTTTGGTATAACTCTACGCACTTAATACGGTCAATATACGGTAACGTAGCTTCCATTAATTTATTATTCTCGGCCTTTTCTGTTTTTTCCCATCCAACAATCTATAAAATAAAATTATCACATTATGCATAATAGAGAATTGTGTTTGATTTCGAATATTTGTACAGTGATTTGGTAGGTATGTAATCAGTGGTGCGTATTGGCAAGTAAATTAGTTACCAAAGAGCGAATCGGACCGGTGCACTGTGGGTCAGAATCCCAAAAAACGGGTCAAAATTAATATTATACAATCAATGAACGAAATCGTTTCATAGGTAAAATTATAAATTTTTGAGGATTTCGAATCCAAATTGTATTTATTTTTAGTATATACACCGATTTTGAGAGTTAAGGGAGATATTTTTTCAATCATTAGAACAGTGCTTTTATTATTTAATAATTTTTTTGTCTATTGCGATAAACAAACAAATTATAATTATAATTTACATGAAATGGTAGATTAATTCGAAACTAAATATAAAATAAAGATAGTTAAACATCATCCGATTTTTCTTCATCGCTATCATACTGTTCTTCGTATTCATCTTCATTTTCATTTTCTTCTTTGCTTATTAGTAATAGCTGTTTTGCTTCAATACTTAACGGAATATATTTGTTGTCATGCATTTTACGTAAACTAGATATATACGGATCCGAAGAAACTAAGAGATTATTAAATAAGTCCTCCATAGTTTTAACTCGTAATATTTTTCTAGTATGGTGTTCACGGTATGGTTTTCTCAGATATTTTAAAAATCGCTTAATAAATCAAAAAAGAACCTCGCTAAAGTATCTTATAGACAATATTTCCTTTCAGGAATAGTGCTACACGTGCGTAACGGAGTAAGACTTCTAAACATCTTTGTAAAACTAATAAATTCTTTAATATACTCAGAATCCAAAAATCGAGGACTGAGCTAAGCGAAATTCAAGAAGAAATCAAGGTTAATACTGACCTACTTAAAACATTTGATCAAATTATTAGTTGTTCAATTTAATTATTCAATAATCTCCAATAATTTAAGTTAGTTACCTTCATCATAATTAATTTGCGTAATACTTCTAACTAACTAAGTTTGAAATTTGGAAAATTTCAGAAACTAATTTATATACTAAGTTAGATTGCCTGATAAAAATACTCGATTCGATTTAAGAATCGAACCGAACCGAAAAAAAAAAATAAAGACTAGACTGTGCAGATCATTATTGTGCAGTATACCTATAATATGCAATACATTTACCATTCCTTTGGATTTATCTGGAACAGGATTTCTCGCAGTCCAATCGATACAAGCTGGCAAAACAAAATGGCTCACATCAACGTCATTTGTCAACACTATAATAGCTATATCATTAGCATAATGTCCAGAGGATCCAAAATAATTGTCTTCCAAGTATATGTGTCTGACCTATATATTTGGTTTTAAAATACAAGGCTGAATAATTGAAATATTATACTGTTTCTAAAATATCAATAGGAAATGAGTTACACCGATAATCTGGGTAAATTGATTGTCCTTTATTGAAATATCACGCGTATATTTTGCAACAGCAACTTTATACAAACCATTTTTTACTGATATATAATGCTTTGATCCAGTTTTTGAAAAACTAGTAGCGGCTAAAACACGTTTATACAGTTATTTTCATTTACCGTTAAATACAAGTAAAAAAGATTTACCGGAAATAATTAAATTTTTAGAAATTAATGTTCCTCCACATCGTAATTCATAATTATTGTCTTTTACTTTGGCATATACACCGACATTCCAAGGAGCAGACCCGAATTTTGAATTTACACCTTCAATTATTAATGGAAAACTGGGATGAACTGCAGTCCTTTTACCACAATCTAGTGAACAATTTAAAACAATAAATTATTTATAATTCTATATTAACAGTTATGCTCACTGGTAAAAAAATAATAACAGTTATAATACCTATATTATATCTAATAGGGGGACATGTTTTAAAACAAAATTCACCCGAAAAGTGATTTTTCATTAATATTTAGCGAGCTTTTAAATTTTTATTTCCATTTCTCTATAATTCCCTATTTTTTCTTTATTTTTATATTGTATCATTATACCAGTTTTTTCATGAAATCACTATTAAATGCTTAAATGCTGTTTTTAGAAATTTCACAATCCACAATTTTTAAAATCATTTTTTCTAGATTTTTCACTGCATCAAGATATTCAAAGCACCATATAGGATTATAAAATCTCCAAAAAAGCCACCAAGCATTTAATAACAACTTTGTGATAAACCGATAAAAGGGTAAATATAAAATTAAGAAGACAAAAAAAAATATATATAGAAAAAAAAGAAAAAAAAAGTTTGGAAAATTTTGATATATGATATTTGAGTATCAGTTATTAGTGCACAAAATTTATTGCACTGACAATTTTTTTTTAAAAAAAACCTACAGTATTATTAATTTATTGATTTCCTCGCTTTTCTGCGAATTTGAAATACTTAACAGTTAAGATTATAAAATAAATGTATGTCTTATTAAAAATAAATTAACTTAGAATGCAGCTGTAAAGTTTTTGACTCCAGGATCCATTAGGCAAACAAATTGATACCATCGGAGTCTCAAGTTGTCCACCTTGTAAACTGTGTGTGACTTTACATTTTGGTTTTACTGTAGTTCCATTTATTGCCTGATCTGCACAGTCGACTTCACGGCCATTAAATGTGCATATAAGATCCAAACTATCCGATTTCAAAGGTGGACATTTTCCTATAGAAACAAATCTTTATAGTCTTAATCGAGTTCAATTAAGAAGTAACAAATGATTATGATCAAATTGTTAAATATTATGATAATGATTGATGTGACATTATGCAGTGTCCAACTATTTATATGAAATAAGGAAATACTAACTCAAACATAATGGTTCACTTTCATTTAGTGGTGGGAACCATTCTCCATTCTCGTCACATTTCATTTGTTTTCTTCTAAATGTTTGGACTTTATAATATCCTTTGACGCAGGTTTCTTCAACTTTACTGTTTAGAGGAACTTGCGTTTCAGGACGTAGAACTTGATTTGCATTTGAATTTCTGTTAAAAATGGAATATGTACTGCCCTCGGTAAACGGTATCATACATGTAACCCTGACAAAATAAGGCATTATTAGTTACTATTATTGTACAAATATTTAAAATATTGTAAGTTCTGTGTTTATGACCGACTTGGATTTACGAAAATTGTCATAAAACGAAAACGCATTAAAATATTGGCTAAATACTTAGTGAATTCAATCAAAGAATTTTGGAACAGCCAATGTATTGTATTGTTATATCTTATGAATAGAAGTACTCATTACTCAATACGGAAATCTAATTTATGTATATCAAGTCAGTACGATTATAAACTAATGAATTATTGAGAAGTCTTACTGCGTAGACGATTCAGTCGAAACTGACGAAGATGTTGTTGATCTTAATGAATTAGATGTAGTTCCTAAAACTATAAATACATATAATATATTATATTATATAGGCGTGTGATATCGATTCTGAAACATTGTGTAGCACATATATAAAGTTGTGAAGTGTTATAAACACGCTGGACTACGTATTAGTACGACTTTAATCGCCGTGTTTCGTTGTCGGTCGTGACGAGTGTTATATTTTTACGCGGTTAACTTTACTTTTATTAAAAAATGTCGAAGTCTAAGTCATCTAGTTAAATTCGCCTCTGTTAACGAGTTCGGAAATGATATTTTGTGTACAGATAGCTTGGTTTTATATTGCAAGGTGTGTGAAACTAAAGTAGGATGTGAACGTCGTTTTACCGTCGAACTACATTTAAGGCGGCTAAACATATTCACACAGCTGATCGACAGAAACAAACTCAGTTACAACAATTAATTTTCAATGTGGTCGGTAAAAAATCATAATTTTGCATGGATGTGTGCAGAGCGTTTTTAGAAGCAAATATTCCTTTCAACAAAATAAATAATACAATTTTTCGTAATTTTTAAACAAAATATGCAGATAAAGATATATCAGACGAGTTAACTTCCTGCAACAATTATTTAACTGATTTTTATGAAGAAACAATAAAAAAATATTAGGAATAATGTCATTGGCTAAAAAATACTTATTTCTATAGACGAAACAACAGATTGCAAAGGCCACTTTGCCGCAAATGTGATTATTAGAATTCTTGATAAAAATAAACCGAGTTAATTGTTTTATTGACTTTTGAACATTTAGATAAAGCAATTTACTCCACAATAAGTACTTCGTGGATTTTTAATTTCAATGTATGTTTTCAAGAAAATATGTAAAACTAAAATTACTCCTTACAAAGTTATACAATAGTGTTTGGTTTTAGTTATCATTAGGAGGAGCAAGGCATATAATTTTAATACCTACCTGGATTTTTAACTTGTTCAATCGATATATTCTCGTTATTATAATTATTTTCCCCTACCTGTAATTCTATTCCTAGAAAAATAAACTAATGTTATAAATTCAATCTACCTACATCTAATGATAAAAAGTTAAATATTATAATCGTTTACCCATTTCATTAAATTTGTTATAAATCCATGGGATATGTTTACTGATGTCTGTTAATATTTCAATTGTTCCTCGAAAAGTAATGCTCATTATTCCGGATAAAAAATGTAAACCGTCCTTATCTGCAAACGTTAAACCTGCACCACCAAAACCAGCTTCTCCCCCGAGAAATTCTTGCCCTGTAAATATTATTCATAATTACCTATGATTTATTATCATGGGTATTATTAGTACACAAAACGTGGTTTTTAAATCACAGATATAGATTTTATTAAGTTTTACGAATTGTTTATTAATTATTGATTGAATACATTGATAAAAATTAAATTTCTATCAATGTATTCCTTTGTATGATTACGGTATAAAAATGGGCTAACTAATTATAGTATAATAACTAAGCCAATTACTACCTTTTAGAGCGCAGAATTTATCACTGGTCACGTATCTCTGCAATACAGTATTTAAATTACCGCATGTAATGCGGTCGGTATATGGTAATGTCAATTCTAATAACTCGTTACTTGGTTCATTATTCTTTGTTAACCCCCAACCAACAATCTATAAAAACAGTTGAATTAATTATATTTAAAATTAATACATATGAGTAGTCAGTAGATATAAAGTGGGCATCTGAAATATTGTTTTCTTTCTAATTATCTTTTCTCCAAGTCCTTCAAAATTTTGAATTTGTCTTATAATAATTTATATAATATATAAAAAGTTAATACTCTCGGGTTTTTATTATTAACAAAATCAATTTTATGTTTCCTAAATAATTAAATTTATTTCTAAAACTTTAAACACATTTTAAAAAATGAAATTCAACTTCGTTAAGATCAATCTTCAATAATATTAAATATTGTCAATATTTTTTTTAATGGCAGGTTGACCCAGTGGCGCGCGCAAGGGGAGGTTAGGGGTTATATCCCCCCACCCCCATTCGTTTAAAATTACAAAAAAAATACGAGGAATCTAATATTGAAATTCATATATATTTCAGCAGTCACGAGAGGAAAAGCTTAATGTATTGATAAAAAATTGGCTTTATTCCTAAATATCCTAATCCGGCTTTTCAGTTATCGATTCCCATAGTCGAGGTTGGTAGAAAAAACGATTTTACAATTTATTCACGATTCTCATTATGCTGCATCCCTTCCCATTGAAAATTTCTTGGCACGCCACTGGGAAGGCCAATGAAAAATTAAGAGGTATGATGGTAAATTTGTTGTTTTAATTTTAAATTATAATATTCGCTATAACCACTGGCAAATAGAATATTTAAATAAAAATAAAAAACGAAATAATTTGCATTACGGTAGCATATAAACGAGTACTATGTGTAACTAAATAGAACAATTAAATTAAGTCACATGAAACAATAAGGTAAATATTTAAAAAAAAATACGTTTGAAACGTATTATAAGTACGGATGGTTACACATTAATACGGCAATTCATTAAACTAAAATAAGAATAAAATATTGTAAATTGAGTATTATAATAATACTCAATCTAAAATTGATTAAAACGATTTAATTTGTATTGATTTTCCGGCAAGTTTAAGACTAATGAATTCAATAGCAAAGAAATTATATTACTGTTTTATGGAGAAAAAATTATTAACAGAGATAATTTTTTTAAATTTCACATACATAATAATATATACATTCATTTACGTACGCATTATGTATATATACAATATATTTTTAACTTTTTAAAACCGAGAAAAACTTATATCTTAACTTAATATATAAACTTATTGATCTTTATATCATGTAGTTTTTAAGATAAAAAAAATGTAAAGATCAAAGTTTTTTGAAAAAACAACATCATTCGAATAAAATACTATAACAGGTGTTGTTTGAAAAAAAAAATACATTTTTATTGCATTTGTATGCACTAAAAGGCTTAATATTTGAAATATACCCTACATTATGCATTTCAATACGCTCTATGACCTCCCGAATTTAAATCCAAAGTCAGTCCGACAAAATATTTGGTGATACTTGAATTAAAATATGATCACATTGTACCAATAAAAATAATAATATTTGTTAACTTGGAACTTTTACCTTTCCAATTGAACCACTTGGAATAGTATATTTTCTATTCCAATCAATGCAAACAGGCATGACAGCATCAGATATTATGACATTATTTTTTAAAACAATTATAGCTATATCGTTCGCATAATAGCCAGAACTATCTTCATAATTGTCTTCCAAATATATCGAATTCACCTGCACAAAATACCAAATTATATAATTTGAAAATTAGGTATACGTTTTATTTTTTTTAAATCTTATTTACATCAATAATCTGAGTGGCTTCATTGTCTACTTTTGAAATATTTCGCGTATACTTCCCAACAGCTGTTTTATAAAGTTGAACATTATCTGTTACTATTTTATCTTTTAAATTATTTTGCCAAAAAAATTGAGCAGCTAAAAGCATAAGCAGAACATGTTTTCACTTCTTATTTTAACTTTCTTTGTTTAGAGTACCGTTTTTATACCTGTGGCAACTAAATTCGGAGCAATTAATGTTCCCCCAGATATCATGACGTATTCTTGAGTTGTATTGTTTTTTCGATAAACTCCAACATTCCAAGGTGCGGATCCATATTTTTCTTTCGCAGTATTTATGTCTTCATGCGGAGTAAATAAATGACCACAGTCTAGAATAAAAGATAAATAATTGAATGTTTAAATATATTTTGCTCTCGTGTTTATTGATTTTTAAAATATGAAATACATTATATATTTTATTAATTACTTGAATTTTTTAAAAAAATAGACCGAATCCATGGAATATGTTGACTGACATCTGTTAATAGTTCGTATTTGCCTTTATACCTAATACTCATTATTCCACTTAAAAAATGTAAATTGTTTTGTGCGAATGTCAAGCCTGCACCACCGAAACCAGCTTCTCCTCCACGAAATAATTTTCCTAAAATCAAAATCGTTATTTATTTATAGACTTCAGGGCATCAAAGCTATTGAATGCTTTACAACATTCATCACCATAACATCGAAGTGTTACTATGTTTGTTGGTTTCATGAGCATAATATTAATCACATCTATCGATGTAATAAATTTCATAGAAATACCTGTATATGAGAAATAATAATTATAAATCAATTAATTTTATTAAATATGTCTTTCAACCTTGAAATAACAACATATGTGTATGTAATGATTAATAAAGTTTCGGTTGTCTGTTAAGGGAATATATTCAAAATAGCTCAACAGAAGCTATACAACTACTATTGCCGGGTTTTTTTTTCTGAAATAAATTGAGAGGTGTTTGCCGAATGTATCATGTTACAAATTCACCAACATAGAAATAGCAAAGCAAACGCTTTAAAGAATAATTGAAAACAAACGAACAATTCACGATCAAATTTACAACAAATAAATGATTAAATAGGGGAAGATGATCGTCGTATTCCTTCTTGTTAAGTTAAAATTAGTAATCCCCTTTAGTTGAATTTGTTGAGGTCTGAGAGTATGCTTTCGTAATTTCCACCAAGACCTTTTTAATGAAAATGTATGGACTCCAATTAATTTTATTAATTATATTCTTTAAATACCTATTAAAATATTTGTAAACAGACTGTTTTATTTTATTTTACTGAGCAGGCAAACTGGTAGGATAATATTTGAAGAGAAGCAGTTTATTTTTAAACCGTTTTTATATAACATTATTATATACTTATATATAAATGTGTGTGAAAAAAAGTCTTGTCTCCGTTATGAATTTCCTGATTAAGTTTAGTTAGGTTAAGTTATTAATCGGGATGATCACTCAATTTTCTATAAATTTAGTTCTTCTACGAATATTTTTTCATTTTAACCACTGATGAAATAATAATAATAAATTAGTTGTACTCAAGAGCGTCTATCATCAAAATTCCAGGAGGAGGGAGGGGGACACTGTATATTTTCAATAATATTGAGCTTCCTGTTAATCTATTAACTGCTTTATAGAAGTTTACGTAACATGATATTATATGACTGTATTCCTATTTCCTACAATAGTATTTATCATAACAATAATAAATAAATATATAACAGACACGGAAAAGCCAAGACGAGGAAAATTTAATTTTAATTCTGATTGTAGCAAGGGGTTTATACAAATATATAATAAATTTAGAAAAAAAATTTTAAAATCTAAAATTTTGATTTTGAGGTCCGAAGTTCGAATTCCTGGACTTTGAAATCCGAAATCTAAAATCCAGATTTTTGTATTTTCAGATAATTTGGATTTATATTACATCACTAGCACCTACATGATGCACAATTGCACAATGCATTATTTAATTGATTCTTTTAGCCCAATAAAAAATATATCATCCAATGATGTAGATGTACCCATAATATGTTATATGACATTCGCATTAAGTATAATGTGTATTGGTATATTAATGATTACCTGTGAGTCCACAAAATTTATCACTGGTGATGTATGGTTGATCTAAGTTCAACTCCTTACATGTAGAATGGTTTAAATACGGTAAAAACAATTCCAACAAAACAGGACTTGGTGTCATAATTTCTGTCATTCCCCATCCAACGATCTACAAAACAGATTTATTAGGGTGCACTGTGAAAACTTAAAATGTTGATATGCATTATATATATATATATATATATATGTATTAGAAAATAATAATATTTATCAACATTGAACATTTACTTTTCCGATGGATCCATTTGGAATACTATATTTGTTAATCCAATCAATACAAACCGGCATAACAGCGCTAGACATTATGGCGTTATTTTTTAAACCAATTATAGCTATGTCGTTCGCAAAATAGTTAGCCGAATCTCGATAATTTTTTTCCAAGTATATTAAATTCACCTGCATAATTTGTGTAAATACCAGATTACTTAATTTGAAAATTATGTAAGTTTTATTTTATTTATTTGTTTTTTTTTTTATTTGACTTACATCGATAATCTGAGTGGAATTATTGTCTACTTTTGAAATACTTCGCGTGTACTTCCCAACAGCTATTTTATACAATTTACTATCATCCCTGATGGTTTTATCTTTTAAATCGTTTTGCCAAAAAAATTGAGCCGCTACAAAAACATAAACATACGTTTTCATTTCTCATTCATTTAACACTCAGTACAGTCATTGTACCTGTAACAACTAAATTCGGAGAAATTAATGTTCCTCCACATATTAGAATATACGTCACATCATTTGAGTTGTTTTTGTAATAAATACCAACATTCCAAGGTGCCGATCCGTATTTTTGCCCACCATAATTATTTGTGTCTGGATCAAATATTCGGCCGCAATCTGAAATAAAATCCAATATACAAAAGTTAATAATTTGTATACAATACTTAGGCATAGTTTTAAAATGTACATTACTTTTGATTCTTTACTTCTAATTTTGTCCAGCATGAAAATAAAAATAGAATAAAACTAAAAATATGTAACATTTTCTTATTTTAAAGTATAAAGTGCGCATTCGTACTATCTCAGTTCATATTAATGTGCTATTAGTTTTCATAATTGTTATAATAATACAACGTTATTTTACAACTTAATTGACAATCTAATAACGTTGTTAATAAAGGTGAAATTTGTAAAAATATCTAGAGCATAATAAATAGTAAATACGCATCGCTTTCCAAGTCGTTTAGGTGAAGAAGCAATTGGCTCTGAAGAAAATAGTAAATGTGTTTTGAAATGAAAGAAGACGTAAAAGTCGAAGAAAACGAACTGCGTATAAAAAAAAAATTGAATATTTTAATACCTATTTACAAAGACGTCCAAGGATAATGGGGACGGGTGCAGCCACTGTTACGTCTTTCATTTATCAGATATAAGGTCTATTAATATTATTATAATGATCTACAAAATGATATTTTAATATTTCTAATGTTTATTGATTAAAATCATTTATGGATTTACTAACTTGAAAAGGTATTTTGATCGTAAAACTGCAGTTGTCTTCTGACTGGCGTAATGTTTGTCTCACTGTCTGCAATACAACAAATATTATACATAAAGTGGAAAGTACGTTGCACTCCATAATATTTATAAAATAGTATATGATTAGATAGTATAGATTTGTATGGTTTAAAGATTGGAATACAAATAAATATTCATACAATTTTTCACATGTCACTTGTTAAATTCCAAGCTAGTATTTGACTAAAGTTAACTTAAACTAATTTACCAAATGATAAAAAATGTTATTTTTGGGGGTTGAACCACTACCTCCTTTGGATTTTAAAATGGAAACCTATAATAAAAAGTCCATAAATAGATGGAGTATAAGTTAGAATAAATTTTAGTGTTGATATTTTTGATTTTTGACAAGATATTCCACTTTTAAGTTTAGATTGGAGGAGAGTAATGATGTACTATTAAAACGCCGCGTGACTTCTCGAAAATAAAAGTCCCGTTAAAAACATTCCGGTAAAAAAAAGCCCCACACTAGGAAAGTATATTAATTTAAAAAATTAATTAATAAGTAATAATTATTATAATTTACAAACTTAAAACAAACTCATAACTTATTATATAATTAATTAAAAAACAACTAATATAAAATAATTAAACCAAATTATTCACACCTCTTTCTAAATATTATGACTAACAAATGTTAAAAAATCTAATATACCAATTTTGCCCGCTTATATTTGTATACATGAACGTTGTATACGTTTTTCTACGGTATGAGTTTGTAATACACAACCACTTTAGTAGGGGTCACCGAACGAATAATGTGACGGAAGGGTGGAATAATAGATTTTCAAAACTCTGTAGACATAAGCATCCAACTATTTGGAAATTAATTAGAAAAATTAAAATGGAAATTTCCACAGATGAAGCAAAATTAGCTATACACGCTGTAGGAGATTTGAGTATTACAACAATATTAGGAAGTCCAAAGTTTCAGCTTTAAACTGATCATTCATATTATCGTTATAGTTTATTTTATTGGTTTAATTAGTTTGATACTTATGAAACGACGTGAAGTGTTACACATTACTTTCAATGCGATTACACCAATCTATTTTGTTACAAAATTAACGTTTTAGGTCGTAGGTTCACAAAAAGTTGATATTTCGTCAAACAATTTGAGGACGTTGGTACTAGATGACCTACGATGAATTTTCGGAAAAATTAGTTTGAAACAAGCCTTTTTTACTGTGAAACGTCGTTGGTATATATATCATAGTTATTTAATTTTAACGGTTTTTGTTTTGTAAAAAAATTACACTTACCTACATAATTATTTGATGTGGTCATAATTGCTGTGATGACAAGGAGTACACGGTACATAATGAGATAATTATATTGTAATCAGTCTATAAATCACTACTGTAATAATATTATTTCGATCGTCCCTGTCAGCGAATAAGTTACATTACTGCTTTATAATAACATAAATTATTATTACTATCAACGTATTCTTAAGATATAGTCTGAAACAACTAAACTATAGGTAGGTACTATTGATATATTTTTCCACGGTGTATACACTATCTACCACAAAATATAACTGAAGTAGTATAATAAATATTGCATACTGGAATGTACCTATGTGCGGATATAATGGCAAATAATATAGTTACGTATAGTATGATACGTATAGTATCATGTCATTATTAAAAATCTAAAGCTGTTTTTCTGGTTTTGAATATAAATTGTTGTCGTTCCCCCTCTATTTTTCCCATAAAATCACGACGCTGATAATACCTACTCAGCACCTACGTCATTAACAAAGCAAGGTTAAGAAGGCGTGATACTCGTATTTTGCGTCTAGCTTATAATCATTTCCTAGTAAATTATAGTATTTCGCATATCAAATACATTAAAATATCGAAAAAATAACACCAACATTGCACTGATAATATGCTTATCTTTAGATTTGATAATAAGTTAATTCACTTTCATTTAAAACTAACAGCATAATGTTATCCCTGCTAAACGCAAATTTTGTACGCTTGTTCAACGAAGACAACACCTGGGAGTATTACGTCTGAAGCCGTAGCAACTTAATGAAGCAATTGTGAAAGTAATTAACACCTACAAAGATTTTATGGTAAGCACATATTTTATAATTCATTGATATTGGTGAAAATAGGACATACATTGAAATAAAATTCCCCTCAACCTAAGTCTTCATGTATTAGCTAATAGGTAATATATTTAAATATCCCTTTCTATATATGTATCTATTTATTATTTAGTAATATTGGTGTTCCTCTAAAAAGTGAGTTTATTTATGCGTATGATAGTAAGTATACAGTAGGCACAAATAGTGTGACGTCACGTTAACAATTGATAAAGACGACAGTTCAAAACAAATTGTTATCGCGGTTAATTTCATAAGAAATACATGGGCGTAAAATTAACATTTTTTAAAGTTGATTTTTTTAATGTTTATTTTTGTGATTTTTCTGGAAATCCAAAAAAATTTGCAGATTTCTCTGTTGAAAATGTGAGAACATAACGAAATACAACATTGAACAATTATGAACTATGGCAACAATTATTTGACAAATTTTAATTTGGATTAAATACTATGTAAAACTTGTTCAAACTCTTCAAAAGGAAAATCAGTAACACTTAATTAACAATAGAAAAACTGAAACAAATAAACGTGCAAAAAGTAAGCAGACGCGATGGTTAAAAAATCAATTTTTTTTAAACATTATTTTTTCTTCCTTTGTATATCTTATGGAATGAACCGTGATAACAGTTTATTTTAAACCGTCAGTCTTAACAATAGACAATGTGACGTCAATACTATTTGTACCTTTAAGGCACAAAATCTTCATTTTGTATATGATAATACTCTGTATACTCTAGTCATAAGGACATTTGGCGCGAAAAAACTTTATTAAACCAATATCTATGCGTTATAATTGTGTATAAATATGAGTAAAAACTTGTAAACAATGCGTTTTTAATAGTTAAACAATTAAGAAATAAACCTAAATACAAAAAATAAATCACCTTTAAAAATGTTAATTTTATGTCTCTGTATTTCATATGGGATGAACCGTAATAACAGTTTGTTTTGAATCGTCGCCCTTATCAATCGTTAACGTGACGTCACTACTATGGTTTTTTATTGAGACAAAAATACGTTTGTGACGAATAAAACAGCGAGTGGTTTTTTTTTCAGTTTTATTATAGGCCGGTCGAAACTCTTGCCCCTCCGCCACTCAAAAACTGAAATGACGCTACTGACTCCAGTTTAATTTGGATTCCACGGATATTCTTTTTTTATTTAACGACGGTTCTTTAATTTGCAATAAATGCACGGCCCACTCTGCAGTCTACACTCATTGAGTTTGCGGTGAAACACACTATTGAGGCTCGTAACCAATTTATAGTAGGTACCTAAATACAATTTATTCTATCCGATTAATTACATTATATTGAAAATATGAAAACGAATGCATGGTAATTTGAACTTAATTGAACTTCAGATACACCACTGATGTTTGGTCATTACAACATCTGATGTCATAAAATCTCTGGTATACGTACAGATTAAAGATATGAATCCATTTGACGATAATATATTTAAATAGTTTTCAATGATAAGATATTGAACAAAATAATGAGCAATTCTTTTTTTTGTGTTGCACAATTTTATCAAGAAATTGTTTGCTAATACGTTATTAAATTGATAATTCAAATTAACTTGCGAGCGACGAATGCGAACATGTCGTTAACACCAAACGTGTATATTGAGGCACAAGTTTCGTTATAGGTTTGGCAATCGCTAACAAAAGATTGGTGAAGTTAGGAAAATGACGGTTATGGTCTTGATTTACAACGTAAAACACAATTCGATGTCGATAATTTGGGTAAGTTTGTTAAAAAGAATCTTCCAAAATTGATTCCAGACCAACGCAAACAATGCAATCATACATACAATTACAAATCAAAGCGCTGAAATTTACTTTTAAAGTTATTAATCTCTTGGAACAGGGCGGTCAAACCCGTAGCCCGCGGGCCGCGTGTAGCCCTTGAAGGCTGTTTTTTGGTACCCCACAGTTAAATTATTTTTTTTTATTAATTAAAAATTAAAGCCGCAATAATATTATAACAAAGTTCTAATATGATTATATAAATTTTACATTTTATAGTTCATAATATTTAATTATATGTAATTATTATACTGTAATTTAATAGTTTGTACATTATATAATATAAAATATATATATATAATAATATCACTTTTTTTTTTGGTGGCCCGTCCGTATTTTTATGAAAGTGTAAATTGGCCAGCTACAAAAGATTGAACTTCCCTGTCCTAGAAGAATATGAAAAGAAAGGTCCGCGAGAAAAAATATTATCTTTTCCTTGTTACATTTTAATAATTTTTATAAAACTAAGATTATAGCATGCACATAAATATGTGTAAGAGTACTTTACTTTGTAGATCATTTGAACGAACTCTCATAACTGCAACGCCATCGTACGTTTGTGCCACATTTAAACATTTCAACTACATTAAAAACATAATTAAATAATGCTTGAGCTTTCTGTCAACACTTACATAAACAAATTGAGGAAACCGCGTCCAACAAATGTTTTCTCTTTCACCGAAAAGTATCTGCAGAACACTGTAGAGTGGTGAGATTTTTTACTAATATCAGAAGTTTCATCAAGCATAATTTTAAAAAACAGTTCTTTGTTTTTTATTAAAAATGTCATCTTTTAATAATACGTCAACGATTGAAAATATTAAATTGTTTTTAATAGTACCAGAAGTACCATGAAAGACTGTAGATTTATCTAAATGCTCCTTAAGTAAATGATCAAATTCTAGAAATATTAAAAGTAACTCCATGTAATTTCCTCTATTATAAGATTCGTTATTTTCAGGATGACCTTTAAAAGGAAATTGGCATTTTTTAATCGCTTTAATATTCGTTCTAACTTTTAAACTGTGTATAAAATTACTACGAGAAATTTTGTTCTGATAATATATCTAAGGTAGCACCTTTTTACTGAAAGGAAATTTCATCTAATTGATAATTTAGGGATGTCATTTTTTGATTTTTCAAGCAGTTTGCATAATAATCAAGAATAAACCTACAGATTTTGAGCAGATTTCAGTTATATATGTTTTGAAAGGCCATAATATTTACAATTTGAAAAAAATAATTTTCCTAAATTATATAGTTTTTTCTATGTTTCTTCCCAGTTAATCCAATTTATTGAGAAAACTCCTGGAAAAATCAAAAAATGATCTTCCTAAAGTGCCTCTCCAGTTCTATTTCCTTCCAAAAAAAGTGCTATCGTTGAAAATTAGAGCAAAATTGCTAGTAGAAAATATGGAATACAGAGCCTTTGTATAGCTTATAATCCAAAACATGTGTTTTTATATAAATTATTAATTTTTTAAAAGAACGTGTAACATTTAATTATTTTATTTCATTGTAATAAAATGCATAACAAATGTATTATAATATTAAAACCAACACAACATTGGTTCTGCTGAATATAAATTTGCTATTTAGTGTGTTTGTAAGTCGAAGACAACAAACGTACTATGTCGCGTCTCCATATAAGATCTGGAATGTCATTAGCTAAGATCAACGGCAGTATAATTTATTGAACGTTATCGATTATTTTAAATTTCAAAAAATGGCTGCTTAAAAGATACGTTGCAAGAAATGCAAGAACAGCTTTTATGGTAGATTCAAAATTGCATTATCAAATAAGTAGTTTTTCCTCATTGTTTGTAAATTAGACTATTTAATGATTTTTTTAAATTAATTGTGTCTATAAAATCAAATTCATGTTGGGCATACATTATAAGTAAAGTGAATTATAATTATATTAATTATATAATTAATTTGAACATAATTTCTAATAATTATCAACTATTGATATGGTCCAAACACATATTATAATAATAAATTGTTAGCCTGATTACTGGGTTTTAATTACTGAATTGACCATAACAGATATGATGTTATACGATGTCGTTACAACCTGAAATCAAATTCGTCGATAAGTATTTATTATTTTTAGTAGTTAACTAAATACTTACACTACCAAATAACTGTAAATTGACAATCTTCTTTGGTGAAAATCGTATCACCGAACAATTTGCATTATTCATCTGCATTGCTAAACGTAAAAACTTTTTGAATTTTATATCCATTTTCGTCCAATTGCAAGAATACATTGAAAAGTTAACGGAATTTACCTATTTTAGCATAATAAAAATAGAAATTAAAATGAAAACACCACATTATTACAATTTTTACCTCAGTGTCTAAATTATCAAACATGGAACAGTAAAGGAAAAGATGATAATATTGAACAAAAACAGTTGTCACCAACTTGATCACGTCGAAAATTGAAAAAGATTTCATTGACAAGCAAACCTACCGAACAAATTTAAAAATATCATAGTGACAATGGTATTATAATGTATACGAAAATATATTTAAATGTTGTTTGATACTGACAATCGTAATATACTCTATAATTTGAAATAAAATTGTAGCTAATACGAGCTATAATGTTTTTTTACGATTTATAGATTTATACATAATACAATTTTATCTCGTATATTTCCTAGGCAATAACATAATACAATGTTTTATGATTATTTGAATACAAATTTTACCATTATTAATGAATATGTTATCACAACCATCAAAACAAAATTAAAGGCAATGAAGACTAAAATAACTGGCCGGAACACTAAATAAAATGATTTGAGTTTCCTTAAACAAAAAAATGTAATTAATGTTATTAATATTTTCATTCGTGGACACCAATCGGATAATAAAACTGTCAGTAACATATTTTTATTGACATAAGCGAAGACTTGGTATAAACTAATGCGGGTGCAAACGCTTTCATGATTTAAAATTCCGTGGAGGTCTTAATTAAATTTTACCACATGATGAGTAAAAAAATATAAGACTGCTCTTTTTAGCTCATTTTAATTCTTAGATACGTTTTTAATCATTTTTTATGATATTATATATGTAACTTATGTTAGATTTTGTTTGTTTTAATTTATTAGTTTTTAAATGAACGTGATGAATAGATTTCTATTGATCAATTCAAACTGTTTTAAAAAATAATGTATGGATTATATCTCAGCCCCATGACATTTTCAAAACCGTCTATATAGAACAATGAAATATAATATTTCTAAATGTTGTTTGTGGGTGATACTCATTATGACACTCTTACCTCCACAGAAAAACTGCTGTAGTTTTCATATCCCCCCCTCCATTCCAACGCCTCTGATTATTGAAAATACGAGTTTTGTCCGAGCAAAAGAAGAAAAAAGGATTGAGCCACGTGACGTTTTCTACTTACATTATTGAATGTGTAAAAGATATTAGGTCTCATAAATCATGTCAATAAAAAGTACTGAAAAAATCGTTCAATTTTTTTTTTTCATGTACATTGATTGATTAAAAATGCAAATTTTTTTTGGACTTTATCTGTTTTTAATAAAATTATCATTATATGTATATACAGTGTATATATATATATATATTTACCTAATGTGCTCAGTCCAAATCACATTATAATAATATAACATTGACAACAATAAAGAGTTAATAATACATTTACAAATTACTTACAAGTTAAGTTTTTGTTGATCGCATATAATTGATTTAAAATTCAAATAGTCTTCTGTAAAAATATTGAAAATGTAAGGATATCGAAGTGGGAATTACAAAAAAATGCATATTTATTTTAAAATCTTTTTAAAGGACAGAGAAGTCTGACCATCATGTTCAAGTTGCATTTAAGCATTCTAAATTATATTTTAAAGTTTCAGTTAATGAATCCAATCAAATGACACCACGAGTTTGGTCATTTGTGGTTCCATAATATAGTGCTTAAGTATTGGAAAAGCGTATTTCTTACTCAAACTTTATGTCTATATTAATCTGATAGCTTATGTTCCACTGAATCTTTACATACATAAAACTTAATTTACCTCCCAATATTTTTCGAGAGAACTCGATTTAAACCTAATAATTTCCATCGTATCGCAATTTTACCCGATATTATTCTTTTAATTTTTGAACATAAGCTTATTAATCGCATATTTCAAAACCAATCTCTATGACTGTATAATATTCTTAAAGCTTATAGTATGTTGAATCTTTACATATGTAAAACGTGATCTATCTCCCAATATTTTTCGAGAAAACTCGATTTAAACATAATAATTTCGATCGTATCGTAATTTTACCCGATATTGGTTTTTTATTTTTGAACATAAGTGTATTATTTGCGTATTTTTTCCTCAAACTTTATGAAATTGTATTTTTTGGATAGATCCGGTTGTGATGAACCGTAACGTATAATAATTGTTGATGTTATTTGCTTATTTTTTTTTCGTACTTACTTCGAAACATATATTTCGTAACGATTCAAAATATCGTAACTTTCAAGAAATTATAATAAACTTGGGACATATTGAAATCTCCCAATAGTGGAAAATGTATAAGAAAACCATTTTAAACAAGTTAAAAATAAATCAAGTCGATAAGTGCAGTATTAAAGGAATTAGGTTTTTTAAGGATTTTGCAAAATGCCCGGGCTGCTTACATATAGCTGGGAATACGTAATTTCTTAACTAGACGGACAAAATGTAATAAAAAAACTATATTTCTAAACCAAACTCCTATGAAGTTACATTATTTTGATAGCTTATATTACACTGAATCTTTACATACATAAACCTTATTTACCTCCCTATATTTTTCGTAAAAACTCGATTTAAACATAATAATTTCCATCTTATCGTAATTTTAGCAGGTATCATTTTTTAAATTTTTGAACATAATCTTATTATTCGCGTATTTCAAAACCAATCTCTATGACTTTATAATATTCTTAAAGCCTATACTATGCTGAATCCTTACATATATAAAACGTAATTTATCTCCCAATATTTTTCGAGAAAACTCGATTACATTTATCTATATATCTAATATGTATATATGTATATCTACATTTATGAAAAACATATTACCTATTTGAGTTTTGTCTTCCCATCCGACATTTTTGAACGACCGTGTAATTACATTGAATTGACCAATTATAGCGAAATAAAAAGAAATTAATACACCATCGAATACAAGCAGAATATAAATGATCATTAACAATAGAAACACTTCTAATATGTAAAAAACAATATAATACTGATTGTACGTGTCTGTTTTTACAGGATACGGAAAATTTAAAACATTGTACATTTGCCCATTTGCGGTTTCGATCCGCATAAAGGAATTTAGTACAAAAGGATTGAGTGCCCACTGAATAGACGCAATAACGGTAAAATTCACCAAGAAGTTTGTAATCCAGATTGTTTTCTCTCGGTATTTATTTAGTGTTTCGATGTTCTGAGTACACAATGGGCTCGTCAAAAAATTAAATTTTGTAACGGGAAACAAATCCCAAATCGTGTTACTCTTGTTCGAAATTCTAATCAACATAAATGATACTAGATTATTAAGTAGAATGGGAAAAGCAATGAGAAAATGTTCAATGTAGCTAAGCGAATCAAGCCCCTTGACGGAAAAACCAATAATTGCTAAAATCGGTACAACTTGTGATACCGCAGTTATCGAAACAATTGTTATTAGATAAACGTTCCAATTGCATATCTTTTTGCTGTTGGGATTGAACAAATGGTAGAAACGAGTTCTCTTTAATAACTTCAAGTTCAAGACGACTCCATCGTCTTTTATAGTCTCCATCTATCAAATGTGTTGATATCTGTAAAAATAAATAATATAATAATATCTTGAATGAATCGTATTTGTGTACGCTGGAAGGGGTTTCATTTTTGAAGAGAGCAGAGAAAAGTTTTGAATGGGATAAGTACGTACGTGTAATTCTTTATATCAATTATATCGATAAATATTATTACTTCCCAACTATTACCTAGAATAAAAACCTACCGTAAGCAGTTAATACTTTTCCTAAACAATTACTAAATATAATTAAGCATACCTAATTCAGTGTATTAGGATAATTTTGAGGCGAATAAAAACGATAATCCAATGATTTTATGACGGCGACTACTGCTACTACAAAAAGACAGTAAAAAACTAAAGTAAACGAACATTTTCTTTCAATAATAATAATAATCCGTATAATATTCCGCCCATGTACTACCTATACCGTTGGAAGATATGTTGTTTTCATATTATTTATACTTTTACTGTGGTTTCAATTAATATTAAACAATTCTTCATAGTTCTTTTATTTAATATAAGTGTCACGCACGAAGTCTTTGTCACGATACTATTCATCTATCTATAATATGTACTTAAATAATGTTTTTTTCTTTTATCGTCTGTTGTTGTTTCATGTAAATATATTAATATTTTAATATATATTATTATCTAAAATAGTAATATTTCCAGAGTTCGAATTGGGGGAAAGGGTGGAGGAAAGCTTTGTATTGGTGAATTTGGGTTAAATTGTTTAGCATTTTCGCTTAACCAAATAATTTTACATGAAACCATAAAAAAATCTAAAAAATTCGAATTTATATAAATACTGAAAAATTGTTAAAAAGTATTCAAAACTGTATCGCGCCTCGAAAATACTATACATAGATTCTAAAATTGAAATACCAACAATTTATCGATTGACTTATCTTTATTATCCCCATCAAAATTAAATTTATATAAAAGTGAATCACCAACTGATGTTCTAAATAAAATTAATTCGAAAAAGGGTAATGTTCGTTATAAGTTGAAGTTTATTGAGAATATTTTCATTTTATGCCATTGGCGCATATTTAGTCTAAAACTTGGGAGTATTAAAATTATTTACGATAGAGTATTACGTGGGGGGCCTTCTCCCCACATCTCCCAACCTATTCGATATTTCAAAATAAAATTATACATTACCTACACATTAAATAAACAAAATGTAATGAGATCCGATTTTAATTTGTAATGAATTTATTTCATTGCTTAATAAATAAGCAACAAGGGATATAAAAAATATGAAAACAACATAAACTTAATAATAATAATACAATTTGATTACTATATATTATAATATGAATTATTAATATATTATATACAATGCAAATCAATACACAATAGTATAATAGTAATTACTTATCTCATATCTGAGTACTATTTGAGTATTATTAAATCTGAGGGTGCTAATTTTAGATTTAGGGGTGCTAAGACCCTCTGGCACCCACGTTTGTGCACTAATGTTTTACGCTGTCGTATGTTAATAGTATGTGTAAAACGGGACAAGTTTGATGTGAAATAGTACATTTTTCGCTTAAATCAATTTGAGAAGTCAACTAAAAATAACTGAAATATGTTTAACCATAAAAAATATAAAACATTGAAGTGTCATTAACTAGATACATTTTTATTGTCTCCTGAAAATTTTTCATTTTTTACTTGACCGCCTTCTCACAAGAACCGTCCAATTATTAAGATGTCTGTGATGAAATAAACCTTTATTTATTTAAAATAATTGGTATTTTCACCTTCAATTGTAAATTTAATACACTTCTATCTATTCAATATTCAAATTATAAGTTTATGGTAAATTAAAGAATGCATTAAAATAAAAATTAACAAAAAATATCAATAAAGTGTGAATACAAAAAAATAAGTACACTAACGTGTTAAATTTCATCTCGTCAGTTGTATAGTTTTATGACACTGACCTAAAGCGTATATAGCAATTTAATACGTTTCTTCTATTAACATTGACGAATACTCGTATAACTCACATCTGTAAAAATAAAAAAGTCAGACAACTTCACACATGTTTGAAGGCCACTGTTGTGGGAGTAACAGAAGAGAAATTTAAAGTATATCTGTACAAAACAATTAGCCATTGCCAAAAAAAAAAAAATGATTCTGAGCGGAGTTCGGTTAATTGTGTTGCTTTATTAACAATATATGTTATATTATGGGAAAATAATTGTATATGCATAATATATTTTCTTTAATAATAGGAATTTAAATGTTTACAGTCCTGGGGGTCTCGT